ATTAAAAAAAAAAGAATTGCTTAAAAAACGTAAGATTGAAATCTGATGAAATTAAGTATGTTAATTTATTGAATTAAATGGATTATAGCCGTTTCAAGCTAAAAATATTACACTATTATATTAGCGAATCTGAGATTCAGTTCTTATTAGTTGTCATTGTTATCTAGCTTTCTATATTTCTAGGCGGGATTTGCTACTGTAAACTAGCATTTGGATTAGCATTGTTAGCCTCCTCTTCCTCCTACTCTTCTAGATATCTGTTTAATTCATCAAAGTTGAGTTTTTCATCAACATCTCTATAACCATTCCAAGTATCAGGAACATTGAATTAGAAATAAGACATGAAGACTTGAATAGCTTTAGTTGGACCATCATTTTCCCAGAGCTCTAAGCATCTTTCAATGCTTTCGTAAGCATTTTACCAATCACCAGATATATAACATTTAAATGCCTATCTGAAAATAGGGTTGAACTCTTAGATATGCTACTGTAGCCCAACAATATCACTATCCAGTGTGAACATATAATCTACTCCTTTATTTTTGAAACTCTCAATATTGATTGACTCGTATTCTTACAGTTTGATTAAGTCTCCACATTCATGATCATCAGGAATAGTCATTTATTCTTGATTATTAAAACTTAAATCGAAAGTATAGATTCCTCTTGGTTCCTTACTCTCATTCATAATTATAACATCAATCTTTCTCAGAGTGTTTCTAGCCTTAAGACTCATCAAATTATAAATTGACTCAGTAATCAATATCTGCATATCGTAGTGATGACACAGTTCTTCAATTCTATATGCTATTTACAAATGAGGGCTTAAATAACACGCATCAATCTTTGACTCAGAACCTATCGCACCTTCAATAGTCCAGCCCATGTGAAGTCCAAAGCTAAGGTTAGGTCTATAATTTGGTCCAAACTTCTTAATAATTTCAGGCTTCTTGGAGAATGATGCTAATTCAGATGCTCTCCTTATTTCTGAAACAATTTTAACAGCAGTAATTAGACTCTTATCAGCGTATTCTGTTCTAAGTTCTAATTACTGTTCATTTTTCTCATTTTCACTTTCTTCAATATCTGGAAGTTTCCAAGTAAGTAGATACTTATCGCCTTCATTTTTATTAGCAGAACCACTCCATTTCTCTCCGCAAACATGCAGTATCTTTATTACCTTATTTAAAAATACAGTTGTATTTTCCTAGAGGGTATCTGAAATCTCCACGAAATCATTTACTCTTATTACCATGAAAATTACATTGATTCTATGGCCTGGTATCATAATTTCAAGACTACCATCACCTGACGAAACATTCTCTCTAATTATTAGAGCACCCAGCTAGCCAAAAGCCATTTGTAGAAGATTTCCTATCCTGTAAATAGTTTTCTCTAATTCTACTGTTCTCATCTGATTTTTATCATTTTTTGCATTAGGATCCTCTTCCTAGATAACTGGCGGATCAGGCTTCTACAAGGGATCATCAGCTAATGTTTTGATTATACCCACCATTTTCGTAATAGGCACAATTACTATAACTTCAGTATCATTAGAGAATGTAAGAGAAGCAACAGTTAAAATGAAGCAGGTAAAAATTGTTGTAGCAAACTGAAGGTAAGCCTCTTATTAGCTTTGAAATTATACATTAAACCTAGCATATGCAACTAGTTCTGCACAGTTTCCTATCTAGCCTGACATGCACTAGATAGGGTTATAACTAATTAGTTCCATTTCATTTGATCGTAAATTGCAGTTTGTACTACTGACGATAAATCCAGAGCACAAGTCATCTTGCTCCCAATATATTTCAGTTCTATTTTATTTATCTACAACTGAATCAATCTCACTCATTGAACCATTTTTTGAGAAATCAGGAACATATAACCATAATAAAGTTCTACCCAACTCATCTGTCTCAACACCTCTAGCTGCAACGATGAATTCTCTTAAAATCTCTTCCCAACCATCTTAGGTGATCCATTTACCTCTCTAGCACTCAAAATTACCTTATTAATTTGCACAGTTTGATCTACCGTACCAAAATAGCTTTCTAAGTCCATATTCTGATGAAAAATCTGAGTCACTGTATGTAAGCAAAGGGAGAATCATCAGCATTCCAAGAACTCCAATGATAACTCTTCTTGTCGTAGTATCCGATAACGCCTTTCCAAGTCTTGATGGCTCCATTTCCCTCTTTAAAGCAGCCTGCTATGCATTTTAAGATAGCTTTTGTTGTTCTCTTAGCTTTGCTTCCTCTACTTCTGCATTAGATTTTACAGCATACTTATACAACTTAATAATTCTGATCAATCTGATAAGTCTCAAGGATTTTACTACTTTTGTGGCCTTTGAGCTAGCGTCCGAGGAGTTATTAGTTTGTCCAGGGAAAACATCAGCAGATTGACTATCCTATGCCATTCCCATTAAAATCTCAATGAATTCTACAACCCAAGCAATATCTGGAATCAAACTGAGAGTAGCTATCATATCAAGCCAAAAAAAGAAACTGTATTTAAAATCATCAACTACACAACTGTTTATCATAATTTCAACTGAAAAGAGAAGGAATGAAATGCTCAAACCACCATAAAACAGAGGATCTGCATCCTTTGTTGTGAACCAAAGACGCAAATCATCCCCAAAGAGAGCAAAAATAGTAGTTAATGACATTAAAACTGTTATATACTTTCCTTCAATGAATTCTCTCACTCTTGTTCTAATGGGAGTATCATCTTCTTCTCCTCCTTTCTTGTTGCGCTTTCTACCGAATTTACTGCCAATCTTATTCTCATCGCCACCTTGGCCACCTCCAGCTCCACCTTTTTTCATTTATCTTAATTCAAATTTAAAATAATTTACAAAATATAGCTTCATTCAAATAATCATCACTCTCAACTAGTGGGGTTTTGGGGTTTTGGGG